TGATTCCCAGCCGCCGGATAATATAAGTGGTGAGTGATATTGCGACTGAATCGGTCACGGATGCCCGCCCGCCCACCCTTCACAAATCCGCACTAACCAGCGTGGTGAAGTATGGTCAATGATCCCCCACGATTAGCACGGTGCTAGCGGGCATTCAGTTACGAGTGGATTGAGAAAGAGCACTCCATTATAGGAGTACGGAGTTATTCCGAATTGATGTGCTTAAGAAAATTCCGTGTCCAAAAAAAACATCTAAGACCTACTTAGGTGGTCACATTTATTTGCTTAAAAGTTCAAAAAATGTTTCTGAGAAAATAATGTATGAACCCAAATCAGTAATTGAGCCACGTGTCTGAATTATAAGAGACATTGGTGGAAGGCTCAGTGGAAACAGAGGAGCGTTTGTGTACAATATCCCATTTGCGCTGGACCTAGGACACCTGAGCGAGCAGTTTCGCAATGCTTTGGCTTCACGCCACCCAATCGCTTGCGCGTGAACGTCGATGGGAGCAGTTGCTATCCGTTATCCCCACCGGTTGCTTTTACATCGGAGACAAACTTCTCTTTCAAGCAATCTTCGGAAACAAATTTGGTTATGCAACTGATGGGCCAGTTGCGAAACCTGCCTTTTTAAACCGTAAAAAAAAATAAACCTATGATATATGCAACTCGCTATCCGATTGGGGTTACGTAACCCCCCTTTTCAGATTCTTCACGGCACTTTTAACGAGGACCACTACCACCACCACCACCACCGAGTCACCGATGCTGCGTGCATCTCCTCTGCTGACACCCCGCTAGAGAGACACCGCTGACCTCGGAGGGTGAGAGGAGGGGTGCTCAATGGACGGTCGGTGTGACGCGCTAAACAGAGGGCGGTTTTGCGTTATTTTCATCATTATCATTGTTATTGTTACTATCGTGGCCAGGGGCAACGGCGTACGCTGCAGGGAGAGAGGAGGGAGGGGGGGGATTTGATTTTTTTTGTATATATTTGAAACAAAATCGAATGGATTTTCGCATCCTGTGCATTTGCGATATAGGGCAGGTGTATTGACAGCTCACGTGACCTTTCCTATTAATCTTGATATTTATTCGGCTTGTCAATGTTCTGCCCTCCAGCATGAGCGGCCTGTGCCCTCGCTTACTTGACATGCACGGAAAGGGGCAGTTGATATTTATCTGGGGTGTTTCTTTTTTTTTGTATTAAGGTTTCCGTTTTGACTTCTTTCACACTTGGTGTTTGGGATTTTCTGTGAAGTGTATTTATATTTTAACCTTTAAAAAAAGAAAAACAGGCTACTGGTCTCAGTGGGCTCGTCACCAAGTTATAAATAAGAGCTGTCTATCGAGAAATCCATTTTGTAAAATGACTGTTCTGGATCTGGGGCAAGAAAACGCTAAAAGAATATTACACACACACACACACGAGCTGAGCTATCCTTCGCGTGTGACATTCTAACGAAGCAACGTAGTAGTAGGTTTTTACCCTTTTAAACTGGTACAAAACTGACACCTCTATTCAGGCATCATGTTTGCAATAACCACAACACAAGTAGTCAAAAAAGCAAACAAAAAGAAGCAACTCTGATAATGATAATAATATGCACTGTCCTTGAAGTTGATTGGTCCACACCCGAGACGGCTTTCTTTAGAGCCTAGTCCCCATTGATGTTGGACCAGATGACACCAGAAGGCGTACGCTTTTTTGACTACTTGTGTTGTGGTTATTGCAAACATGATGCCTTGAATAAAGGTGTCAGTTTTGTACCAGTTTAAAAGGGTAAAAACCTACTACTATATTTTGCCACTGCTAAAATAGATCTCACAGTGAAGCAACGTAGCTTAATAACTGATTTGGGTCACAATCTATATACAGATATAGTGTGCGAATTATTTTACAATACCGCTGCACTTGGAAGTGATGCACAAGAACAAATACTGGAACAGAACAACCCTACACGACGTTTTTTGTAATGGCTCTACTTCATGTTCAATGAATAAGGGCAATTCTAGGTTTCTAATATACTGTATAATAATTCGTTCTTCTTTTATTGACGAGCCTGTTGCGTTTTTTTTCTCACTTATATGGTGTTGCGTCGTCGGATCGTCGGGATATTGGAGGCTTGAGGAGGCCTCCATTGAGTCTGGCCGATGACAACCATGATGACGATGACGACTATGATGATGATGATGATGACCATGATGATGATAAGCCATGATGATGTCCATGATGACCTATGATGATGATGGTGACCATGATGATGATGACCATGATGATGATAAACCATGATGATGATGACAACCATGATGATGTCCATGATGACCATGATGATGACGACGACGACGATGATGATGACAATAATGATGATGCACATGCACGGAATGGGATTCAAATGTCACCACAAATTGATATTGAAATAGCAATCAACACACAATATAGGGTCGGTATAACCTTGGCTCCTGCTATAAATCTAGCCGACCCCGTGATCCCAACGCAAGCAATAAACCAATCTAGCTACAAAACCCACCTGAATACGGAATAACAAGCTCGTCATTAGTCAGAGTACACACGTATCTAAATAGTCATTCGTAGGCTGGTCAAGTTTTCCGTTATTGTTTTCCCATTTTTTTTCCTTTGCTATAGATAATGACCATTATTATGATAGGTTGTAGAAAACTATCCGTGGGCAAAAACCGTGAGATGTAAGGGCGCAATGGTTTTGCCACTGCTGTGCCGAGTGTTGTTGATTGACACGGGGTGGTGCATGGTATTCGCACACGGATAGAAGCAGCAGCAGCAGCAACAGCTTGGCCCTCTGGCAGGGAACACTCTCTGCGTGGCCACGCCACCCAGAGGCAATGCTTGTCACGGCACCACGCCCGTGGCTCGTGATTTCCAATAATTTCCAAACGCAGTTAGGAGGCTAATGAACATTCAAACGTTTCAGCCATTCTCAATCACCATTGAATGAATGCCTCCCCATGACCATACTTCACCAATCTGAGCGGTGCGGATTGAAGAGGAGGGGGAGGGGGTGTTGTGGGAGGACTGGTTCTGATAGCTCTCGCCACTGATGTTATCCGTGGCCCGGGAATCGAACTCGTCTGGACGGAATCAATTGCCCGGCGCGCTAATCACTGTTATCACTGCTCCACCAACGCAATTGCGTGTCTCGTAACACATTTAGAAAGCTTTGTCGCGCAGTAGAAATCAACAATGGAGCAACGGCGTGAAGGAGTGACGCAGCGATTAGGGGGCACTGCGCTACGAACCGAGCGACCCGAGTTCGATTCTCGCCCACGGCTAACATCAGTGGCGAGCGATATCTCTAAACCTATCCACGCCCTTGTTTACCAACCCGCACTGACCAGCGTGGTGAAGTATGGTCAAACAACACCTCACCCTCCCCCCACATACCTATGGTTGACGTCTTAATATTTTTTTATATACATTAACATTTTATCTAGATTGAGGTCACACGCGATGGACATTACTCAGCGTGTCGAGTGCCCTACACGCATCCGTCTCTGCCTGACCTCTCCCTCTTTCTCTCCTGTCGAATGTGTTTGTCGTTTTATCTCTCGTCTCGATTCGTGCTGAGCAGCTGAAACGCTTCCGAGACCCCGCGCGATGCCATCGCAACGCGCGCCTTCCAAAGGCGAGGCGGCCGATTGTTCGACACGTGACAAAGACACCGACCCATTGTTCTTCAACGCCGTTGACGTAACGGCACGTGCAATCCGCTCGACACAATCGCGGTGGCGAACGCAGCAATAATAATAATATAATAATGTTTAATTCCCCCCCCCCACCTCTCTCGGCTGTAAACACTGAATCACCACCCTCAATTCCCTCGATGAACGGACCACGTTGCCACCCCCGTGCCTCTGCAGAGCGCCGCTGTCATCATCATTATATAACACAGCTGATGGCGATGGTAGTGATGGCGATGATCGTGTACACAATATAAATGGCACCGAGCAGATGATTTTTGGTTGCAAACTCCTGGCCAATGCATTATTGAGTGATACTGCGATGGGAGTAGCGCAACAGCCTCAAATGACATCAAAAACTCAACACGTTCGTAAATAACACCGTGGCTTTGAAAAAAGGAAGGAAAACAACATAATAGTGAACGTTTCGGGCAATGTGCCTTCGTTCGTAGCACGCGCACGGCTAGTAAGGCGTGGAACGCACCCGCACGCATTGCGTGCATTGCTCACACGTGCAATGATGAGCACCCAGGTTCCTACGATTCAACACAATGGCAATATGCTGTAGTCATTATTTCATTTGCAATAAATTGTGCACGTTGCAATTAATAAAAAAAAACATTCCAGCGTGCTTGTGTACGTAGCCATACGTAGCAGCGATGTAAATGCGTGCATGCACATCCTGTGCAATGCAGCGCTGTGTGTGTGTGTATGCATATGGACACAGTCGTAACCCACGGCAACAGGTACCAGCTATGGAATCAGGGAGAAATTGCTGGCAATACGGCAACAGCCAACGCTGAGCTTGATGCCGAACAAGCGCGTACACATGTGTGCGCCATGGAATGACTCGAGAACGGACGGACGCACGAATGAATGAGTCGATGAATGAAGAGCCAATGTGAGTGGGTGCATAAGGGAATGAATGAGTGCGAGATGAGAGATGAGAGAGAGAATTTAGCAGCACAACGCAGTGCAAGTCACCCATTCGCGCGTTCTCGCGGTGGCCGTGTCGACTGCACCTCTCCCGTTGTGCTCCTGGGGTTCGTGTTTATCGTTTCGGATTCATCTCTTGCGCGATTCAAGTCCGTCCGAATGAATGCGTAACTCGTTATGCTGACAGGGCTCGCCTCGCACATTGTCCAGAAAGTGCCAAGTGGTACTATATATATACAAAATTAACACGCTGTTGCAATTCAAAGTGACTCTTACGATACAATAATGGCGATGATGATGATGGTGATGGGACACGGTGTAACGGCGGTGATTGCACAAGCACTCGCCTCTCCGGCTCCACGCCTCGCTTGCTCCAGCTCTCGAAAGAAGTCCTCCAGCTCCTTACCCTCGATGTATCCGTTCCCTGTCGCACGGGCGGCAGCAGCAGCAGCATCAGCAGCAGCGAAAACAACAGCCGGCGTTTTGCGTGGTCAAACCACAGAGCGAGCAACTCTCTGCCCTCAGAAATACCCATGTGTGCAAGACACACGTGCACACACACACACACACGCGCGCAAAACAGTCTCCGTGCAATTAACCGCACCGCCCGCGACCAATGCAAACAACGAGCATGCACATCGATGCACCGTGCACAAACCAAAAAAACGACAGCCTTAAGTTAAGTCTCAACGCCAATGCACTTATGTCAGATTCTGGCATTGCGTACGCATCGCGTTGTTGTTGATACAAAGTGCACGCGTTGTCTAAAATAAGGGGACACGCGCGCACATTGCAACGCGCGCGACACCCGCGCGCGCGCTCAGCGAGACACAAAGCGCGTCGCTTGCGCGTTTTCGCAGCAACAACAACAACAAACAGAGAAGCATCGTCGCTTCGATGAAGAATTCCCCCTTTTTACCATCGTTGTCGTAAAATTCCCAGATCTTCATCAGATCGTCGGCGGAGATGCGCGGCTGCTGCAGGATCGCCACCCTCGCCGCTGCGTCACTCATCGCTGCTTTTCTTTCGGGGGTCGGCGTGAGAGAGCGTGAGAGTGTGATCGAGAGGGAAGGCTGGTCGATGTCTTCTCGACGGCCCCGGTGTGTTGTAGATCTCTGTTTCTTGCCTCTCTGTTATTATCTCTCTCTCTCTTTCTGCTGCCGGTATCTCTCTGCGTATCTGCGTCTCTGCACGAAGACGAACGAGTTCTGGGGAGCGCACGAAGCCTCGGAAGGTTTAAAATTGTATAAAAGCGCTAAAAACGTGCGCTCTTGCCGTCGTTCACGACTGCTACGGGGAGAGGCGTAAAGGGCTCGCACGCCGCGAACAGAGACGCGGAACAAGACGAGGAGGCTGTCTGAGCTCCTCCAGTGACTGAGCGCACGGAGAGAAGGTGGTGGTGGTGGTGGTGGGGGGGGACACGAACGGAGTCAGACGCGAGCAGCAGTCACCTGTTGCGAGCTCTCGGCACTGTGGGCTGCGCGACCGCGTTTACGCGCAATATTTGAACTAGCGGCCAGGGCAGGAGGCGAATAGCGGTTGGGGTCTTTTTTTAAATTTTATTTCATTTACTTGCGAGGCTATGCGGTCGTTTATTTATCTATATACACACGTCTCTACTCGCGTTCCACCACGCACTTGCGTCTCTCGCCCTGCGCTCCACTCGTTCTGGTTGGATCCCCGTTGCTGCCGCATTTATACCCAGTGGCGGGATCAAAGGGGAGACTTAGTTTGTAATTATTTTATTTATTTTTTTCCGACAGGTAAGCGAGTTTTCCTGCAAAGGCGAAATTCGAAACCGATTTAATTATTCACGAGCGAGGAAGCGTGTGAGCGCCTGCAACAAAAAAAACCCCAAGACGAACTGAGAGGTGGTGGTTGGTTGATTGGTGGTGGTATATGATGGTGGTGGTGGTGGTGGTGGTGATGATGATGGTTGGATGGGTGAGTGGGTGGGTTGGTGGATTTTTGAGTGGGTGCGTTAGTGAGTGGGTGTAATGGTTTGCGAGTGGATGTGTTCGTGGGTGAGCGCGTGGGAGAATGAGTGGATGAGTTGGTGAGTGGATGCATTGGTGAGTGAGTGGCTGCGTTGGCGAGTGAGTGTAAGAGTTTGTGAGTGGATGCGTCTGTCAATGAGTGCGTTGGTGAGTGAGTAGATGAGTTGGTGAGTGGACGCAGTTTGTGAATGAGTGAATGCGTTTGTGAGTGAGTGAGTGGGTTGGTGAGTGAGTGAGTGGGTTGGATGGGGCGTCGGTGAGTGAATGGGTGGCTGCGTTGTTGGTAGAAGCATTGGTGAGTGGGTAGGTGCGTTGGTGAGTGGATGCGCTGGTGAGTTGATGCGTTGGCGCATGTATGTTGTTCGTTGGTGAGTGGAAGCCCTGGTGAGTGGCTGGGGGGGGGGGGGTAGCGATGCGTTGGTTGGTGAGTGCCACGAGATGATCTCGCGAGGGTGAATCGTGCGCAGCTGTCCCCGGGGTCTCGATGCGAGGCGTTTTTGCTTTTTGAAACAACGCGAGTGCCACACCTGGCTCCTCGCACGCCCGCGCCTCCGATGAGCGCGGTTGGCTACGTACGGTGCGAAAGAAGTTCCGACATGCATACACACACGAGGGCAGCATGGGGGCAGCATTCCGGGAAGAGAGGGTATCGCGTGCGCGCTGCTGTGAGGTCCACAGCTGGTGGTGCGTGCGACACGCGGCTCGCTACATTGCGGTGCCGTGAGAGATGGCGACCGTTTGAGAGGTGATGCGTTCGTCCAGCGGTGGATTGTGCGTGGCCGGTGACGACGCTGATGATGACCACGTCAAAATCGCATCGCACCAGACGGCCGCAGGCAACGCCGTTCGATTTTCGGCGCGTGAGTAAACTGTTGTGATCAAGTGCATCAATGGGTTAAATGAATACCTAAAAAGCGTGTGAATACACTGTTGTCCTTAAACAAGGTTGGTCGGAATCCGCTGTTTTTTTTTTTTAAAGCAGAGGGATTGACTGATGGGGTTTTTTTTTCATTCGATTTTGGAACACTCATGTTTGGGTTGAGTAGTGGTGCAGCGGTTGGCGCAACGCGCTCTGAAACCAGCCACCTGAGTTCGAATCCCGGCCACGGCTATCATCCGTGGCAAGTGATATTGGGAGCCGACGCGCCACCTGCGAAACTTTCCTCGTCAACTCACATTGACCAGCGTGGTGAAGTATGGTCAAACAACTCAAATAGCCGACCCGGCATGGGTGGCCCTTCATCCAGCAGTGGATTTACACAGGACTGTGCATTATCTCACACTATACTATTTTTTTTTACTTTTGCTGGCTGGATGGAGGGAGGGACAGACTGTCACATCCAAAGGATGTGCATGCTACTAGTGTGTACATATATCTACGTTCACCGTGTTAAATAATTTAATTTAGTAACAGCACTTTTTATCAACTGCTCGATGAAGCACCCCCCCCTACCCCCCATAGTCACGGAGCGGCCAGCCAAGAATGGCTTAGACATCACTCGTCGCCGATGTTATCCGTGGCCAGTATTCAAACTCGGACAGCCGAGTTCATTCATACATTGAAGACGAGTGAGCAAACCGCTGGGCCACTTGCTCGGCTGGCCACATTGTGAAACCAGTGTCATGTTTGTCCTAAATGCCACCGGCACACAGCAGGCAGGCGGTGGCCGTTCTTAACAAACAGCACCGCGTGCTGGTTAACGTCCCATTAACACAGCAGACGGCGCACGTTTGTGAGTGCAGAGAGAGAGAGAGAGGTGGATGGGAATCGAACACGTGGAAAATGTCAGAGCGGTAAGCCGACTCGCCGCTAGAGGTGGCTGCGACATCCGTTAGCGTGGGTTTCTGTAGTTTTTTTCAGGAGAAGATGTTGCACGAAGAAGAAGACGACACGATGCAGGCAGCGATGAGAAGGGACTATTTGGACACGCATGTTTTAATGGACAACAACGTGGAAGAATAAAAAGTGTGGTTGTTCGGAAAAACAAGTGGAACGAACCCGAAAGAGAGGAAGAACGAACAGAGAGAGGATGGCTTGACGACGACGAAAAAAGGGATTGGTGGCAGAAATATGTGGCCACGACTTGAGCGTATTAGGCACAAAGTTGAAACAAATGACGAAATGTGCAGTGGACACCTACGGGCTAGCCTGCTCCATGGTTCGTGCTGATGGTACATCATGAGAAGATGGCATCTAACTGCTGCCATCATCATCATCCGCCCTGATCAATCCACTGCTGGACGAAGCCCCGCCTTAAGCCGTAGCCATCTCTGGCCGATCCTGCGAGATCATTTAATCCACTTAAATGTCTGCTGCACGGACGCCAAATTCATTGCTTTATCCCCACGCGGGAACGCCCTCTCGGATGCGTTCTGTTCCTTAATCGCCACGACTAACTCCTGTACATTCTAATGATGTCGCGGACGGGCTAGAGAGCTGACACTTGGTACAATACCGTCGAGCCGATATACTTAACGACTTGTTTTTCGATAAGAGCGCCGTCCCATACGCCAGGCTGTCTCAAAGCGCTCAGCATCTGACCAGCTCAACGTCTCAACATCTCATCTCAACATGTCAACATCTCATCTCAACATTTTCATCTCAACATCTCAACATCTCAATATCTCATCTCAGCATCTCATCTTAACATCTCAACATTCTCATCTCAACATCTCAATATCTCAGCATCTCAACATCTCATCTCATCTCAACATCTCAGCATCTCAACATCTCATCTCAGCATCTCAACATCTCAACATTCTCATCTCAACATCTCAATATCTCAGCATCTCAACATCTCATCTCATCTCAACATCTCAGCATCTCAACATCTCATCTCAGCATCTCAACATCTCATCTCAACATCTCAGCATCTCAACATCTCATCTCAGCATCTCAACATCTCATCTCAACATCTCAGCATCTCAACATCTCAACATCTCAGCATCTCAACATCATCTCAACATCTCAGCATCTCAACATCTCAACATCTCAACATCTCAACATCTCATCTCAACATCTCAGCATCTCAACATCTCATCTCAGCATCTCAACATCTCATCTCAACATCTCAGCATCTCAACATCTCATCTCAGCATCTCAACATCTCATCTCAACATCTCAGCATCTCAACATCTCATCTCAGCATCTCAACATCTCATCTCAACATCTCAACATCTCATCTCAACATCTCAGCATCTCAACATCTCAACATCTCAGCATCTCAACATCTCATCTCAACATCTCAGCATCTCAACATCTCATCTCAACATCTCAACATCCCATCTCAACATCTCAGCATCTCAACATCTCATCTCAGCATCTCAACATCTCATCTCAACATCTCATCTCAACATCTCAGCATCTCAACATCTCATCTCAGCATCTCAAGATCTCATCTCAACATCTCAGCATCTCATCTCAACATCTCATCTCAGCATCTCATCTCAACATCTCAGCATCTCATCTCAACATCTCAGCATCTCAACATCTCATCTCAGCATCTCAACATCTCATCTCAACATCTCATCTCAACATCTCAGCATCTCAACATCTCATCTCAGCATCTCAACATCTCATCTCAACATCTCATCTCAACATCTCAGCATCTCAACATCTCATCTCAGCATCTCAAGATCTCATCTCAACATCTCAGCATCTCATCTCAACATCTCATCTCAGCATCTCATCTCAACATCTCAGCATCTCATCTCAACATCTCAGCATCTCAACATCTCATCTCAGCATCTCAACATCTCATCTCAACATCTCATCTCAACATCTCAGCATCTCAACATCTCATCTCAGCATCTCAAGATCTCATCTCAGCATCTCATCGCAACATCTCATCTCAGCATCTCATCTCAACATCTCAACATCTCATCTCAACATCTCAGAATCTCAACATCTCATCTCAGCATCTCAACATCCCATCTCAACATCTCATCTCAACATCTCAACATCCCATCTCAACATCTCAGAATCTCAACATCTTATCTCAGCATCTCAACATCCCATCTCAACATCTCAACACCTCATCTCAACATTTCAACATCCCATCTCAACATCTCAGAATCTCAACATCTTATCTCAGCATCTCAACATCTCATCTCAACATTTCAAACATCTCAACATCTCATCTCAATGCATTGAAGAGGGGCACCGCGTGTGACAGCTGTCCCTGTGCGACACAAGGTAACTCAGCACCTTGACCTGCAAACGGCCATCTGTCTGCCGGTAGGGGATCATGACTGCTGCTATGTATAATGTCCATTGAATACCGTGCGGGTCATTTTATAATTTGCCATATTTTTGACCCCACTTTAAAATGAGAACGATCAAACATAATTTTTCTAATTTGGGCTCCCAACAATGTCGGCTGCAAGGTTCATGGCTTTCCTTCATGGGGTAGGGTGAAGGTCTACGTTGCTTTGAGTCCCGTGCTAAACACACACACGTGTGTGCGTGTGTGTATACGATCCCAATCAACAGTGAAGCAAGTACAGTACATAATTCGCATTTCGTGGAGTGTGACGCTAAAGCCGACGGAAAGCGAGTGAAGCCACCTGTGATGTACATATGCAATCGGGGCTCAACATCAGCCGGGCATGTCTGTGTTGGCAACACGGAAGATATTTTTCCACCCGGAACACCACATCGAGGAGACATCTCCCAATGGCGGTGGCTGCCTGTCGCGTGTCCACTGAAGTCTACCGTCGACTCGATGAA